ATCCCCTTTGCTTTTTCCCACAAAAACGAAATCTAGCTTGCCCTCCGGAGACCTGTCGCCGAGGTCTGGTAGCAAACCATACCTTTTTACAGCATGTTTTGAATCACCATGAAATATTTATTTTCACCCATGGAAATGTGAAGTTTCTGACTTCAATCTCACTGGTTTTCCTGATTTCTCCTTAAATTCTGATACCTCAAAGAGGTATCAGGTTTGAACTTTTATTCCACTTTGACCTCCAATTCCATAATATACTACACTGGAGGCCGCGGATTTTTCAACTTCTTTCCCATTCTGTAGTTTCGCTTTGGTGTTGCTAACATATTTTAAATGTATGAAAAAATTTTAAGAAAGTTCAGCGTAATATTATAATATAGGTGCAAAGGATGTCTGCTATAGTGTGCGTGTCTCGCTCACTTTTTATAATACACATGACTCGTCACTGTGACAGAATATTTCAAAACAGTAAATGCTAATTTTTTTATTGCTGTTTGCATCGCTGTCACAATCCTACATCGCTGTAGGATCCACATTTTTGACGGTTGATATCACTGCGGATATCGCTGCTACCCATCATAGGTTATAATATTCCGCTCAAAGGTACTAAAATTATGAGAGTTCGTGAAAAAAAATGAAATAAGATTTACCACAAGGTTAACAGTCAGAACTCATGGAGACCTTCCATGCTTACAAGAATATTTTTGCATCTATTAGCTATTCTCGTAAATGCAGGATTAGATTTTCTAATAAAAGAAGGTTCTAAAGAAATACTGTTCACTCGCCTCATTCGTTTTTTTTACTCATGCAAAAACAAATACTACTAGAGTGCCCTTTACCAAATTTTCTCACAAAATTCTCAAGAAAGAACATTTTTCTTATCAACCTACGGAACCGAAAGTTGTAGCTTGCAACATATTGTTGGGTCATTTAGGTTAAAATGGCGCTAACTTCAAACTGAGGTCGCACCTCTGTTAAGCAGTATCAGTTTTATGCTTGCGCACGGAGAATGCACATGTGTAATACTGGACAGCTTATAACCTTCTAGCACCGACCAGCGTCTAAGAGAACTTGATTGTTTAACTGATGACCTTTGCTGAAGTAGTATAAAAGCTTCGGTTGACGGTGTCTGTCACATTGAGTGATGCGACTCATCTTCCTAGTAGGTGTTCTCGTGGCAGTCGACTGGTGAGTATGAAAGATTGTTGCTTATGCTCTGAAGGTTTTTTAAACCAATCCTCATGTTTTTAGCGAGCAGTCAGGTTCTGGCAGCTACAGCAGTAGTGGAGGTATGTTTTATAATTAAACTAAAAGGCACCATCTTGTACCTCTGAAGTTTGCTTGACTCTATAAACATTGAAATTTAATAGGTAGTAGCGGAAGTGGTGGTGGCACAAGTGGAGGAAGCAGCGGTGGAGGTGGTAAGTCAGAATACCTGAATTTTTGACCGAAATACAAGGTAATGAATAGGTTACGCCACTGCTCCTGCCTCATACCAACAGTCAGCCAGCGCACCCGTTGCTCCTCCTCCGCAAATGCCAGTGTCCTCATCAGGGCCATTGACTCAATCACAGCCTCCATCAGGAAATTACCAACCACCACAACCACCCTCAGGGGGATACCAACCCCCACAACCACCTTCAGGAGGATACCAGCAACCATCCCAGCCATCTCAGCCATCTCAGCCGTCCCAGCCAT